CTTCTTGGAAGATGACCATCTGCAATTTCCAGGAGCTGGCATTGGCTTGGGGTTTGCGGTTGCCGCCGGAGAGGGAATTGGAGGAGGAGGGATGTTCTCTTTGTTGTTGTGAATACCAATGGCCTCCTCTTCCTCCATTACTAATGAGTTCATGGTGTTGTCTGTTGCCGTGATGAGGGAATGAAGGAAGGAAGGAGTGAGCTATTTGTAATATTTGTGGGTGCCCTGGGATTGGATTTTGGATTTTGGATTTTGATTTTGGAGGGATGTTTGAATTATTCTTGGGCTTTAAAATTGAATTTTGGTCGGTGTTTGAATATTTTGACTTTAGTAATGGAGGAGATCTGAACTGCCAAATTCCAAATGTAAAGAAAATTCAAAGAAGTTTGAAATTTCCGGGTCCCACCGATCCGGCAATTGGCAGTGGTACAAACTGTGCATTTTCGATGATAATGTTCATTATTCTATTTATTAACGTTTAATGAATTTAAATTTTAATATTTGTGTCTGTTCATTACACAAATGTTAAAATCTTTCACCATCATTTGAAGGAAATTTTTTTTATTGTAACCGGGACATAAATGGTACATTACGTGTTTTTGTATAAATTGTGGGAAATTTTATTTTTCATGTAATTAATTTTTTAACATACATATCTCATTATTTGTATAATGATACATAGTATATACCTCATCGTGTTCCGGTCCTAATGAAAAATTTCTTCATTTGAAGATGGTTAGCAAAAATATTCCCCTAGTACAAAATTACAAACTCACTTTGGGCGGGGAGGGAGGGGAAGGAAGGAGCCGCCAAATCAATATTTGGCTCCTCTTTTTGTTTTTGCCGCCATAATCAAATGACAAATATGATTATATGCCTTACGAGTTACAAAATTATATTAGACGAAATACAATATTACCTATGATTATGCTTTTCATTTTTAATATATAATAGTGTAATTGATTATGCTTTTACAATATTACAATATAATAGTGTAATTGAATATACAAAACGCAAAATAATGAAGCATATACAAATGTAACTATAACATGATAAAATTTCGGATTAGATAAATGCATTTCAATTGTCATCCTATTTTTTCGGAAATGTTCACTTAGAATGAATTTTTTTTTTGTACAGTTTAGAATCGGGAACTTTAACGAAAAGATTCCAATACTGTTCACTTTAACAAAAAACCACATTTTTACACTAAAAAATCAATCATTGTACTATTCACTTTACCCTTTATTTTGTCATTTTCGTTAAAACTCAAAATTTTCAAGCCATTTTCGTTAGTTTTCTTATTAGAATTTTCAATCCAAACCAAACACTAGAGTTTGAATGTTCGTTCGGATTGCTGCCCACCCCTAAAGCTCCTTTGTGCAAGCGATCAAGGCAATAAAAGTTTACATTTACATAAATTAAAATGTGTGATTGCATCGGATTTTAGACACAATGGTTTCGTCTTGCTCATCCATAGTCCTTGATATTCTTTTTCTTTTTCAAAGTGGATTGGATTGGATCATGAACACCCCTAACGTTGGGATGACCATGATGAATTTAACTGGCTAGTGTAATGGACAGAAGAACAAATTATTCGAAACAGAAAGGACGAAATGGATTTCTCTGCATGTATGACAATTTGAGTGTATATATAGAAGCCATAAAAGAAGAAACAACTGTAACATGTAAAATGAATTATCTGAAACCCATCCTTAGAGATTTGGAGTTGGAGCTGGCGATTCTAATGGAATTAAAATCCTCAGCTGACTTTCTTTTCCTATAATTCAAGGCGGATGCAGAGACGGAGGGGGAAGAGAAAGAAAGAGGTGGCCGGCCTGGTGATCGAACCGAATTGTTGTACAAGTACAAGTTAGTAACATCTGCAAGAGGCTTCCTCCTCCTCAGCTGCCTCATTTTGTTACATTTCTTGGAAGATGACATGGTTTCAGCAACTGGGTTGGTCAGCTTTGCCTTTGCAGTTGCAGAGAATGGGGTTGGAGTTGGAGGGATGTTCTCTTTTTTGTTGTGCTCACCGTCACGGCAGGCGATGGCGGTGGCCTCCATTAATCCAACACTTTGAGAGAGTTGAGAGACAAAGTGTTTGGTATTGAATGAGAAGAATCGATGGTTGGGTTGGGTTTGGTGGTGGGCATATTTGTAATGCTCTGAGTTTGCGCGGTGGCGGTGGTCTCTAATTCTAAAATTCTAAAATGTGAAATTTTCATGCGCCAAATAGATTGGGATTTGGGAGGGAGAGATTCAGACTTTGTTGTGACAACTGGCAAGTTCCAAAATGTTAGAGAGAGAGAGAGAGAGAGAGAGAGAGAGAGAGAGAAGGGCTAAAAAATTAAACATAAAGTGTTGGAGCCAAAGAATGAGGATCCTCTCATCAAATCGTGTTCGTTCATTGTATGATTAATTTTTGTCAAGTAATATTCATGTTTAATTTTAAATAAAATTATTTAAAATAATTTATAATCACACGATGATATTAAACGAATACAATTTGAAAATTTCCAAGATTATCTCAAAGAGAAACTAGAAAGGATCCTCATTATGCCAATAATACAAAAGTGGAAACTTTGGGCGGGGGAGCCGAAGGAGCCAAATCCCAAAACGAAAACTAGTGTAGTTTGTAGTTTAGCCCCAGTTTGGTAGTGATGTGCTTTAAAAAAAAGCTAGGGTGAAAAAAAGCTAGAGGGATTTGAGGTGTTTGGTAAATTTTCCAAAAGCAGCTTTGTTTTAAAGCTGAGGGTGAAAAGAAGCCTAAAACCGGAAGCTGCTATTTGCAGCTTCCCAAAAACAGCTGCGGCTTCCCAAACCAAAAACACGGGTGAACAGTGTAGGTTTAATGAATTTTTCAATAATACAAAATTGCCCTCCTTCCTTATACAGTCTCTCCTCTCCGCCTCTTTCTCCTTCTCGCCTTCCTCCTTTCTTTCCTTCAGTCTACTCTCCTCTCGCATACCCGAACCAAGAAACCAGATCTCTCTCGTTCTCTTGTTCCAAAACCAGCGTTCTCCTTTGTTCTCTCGTTCTCCAGGTTGGTTTGGTAAGTTTCTCTTGTAAATTTTATTTATTTATTTGTTTGGATTTTTAACTTTGGGGATGGGAGAGGGAAAAAGGGGTGGGAAGAGCAAAGGGATGAGGGTATGGGTGTCGGGAAAAACAATTGGGGATGGAGGGTGGGGAAAAATTAATTGGGGAAGGTGATATGGGTGGGATGCTGAGTTCTTCAACCAGATTTCGGAGATGCTACACCAGCGTCTTCAACATAGGAGCTCGCGAGCGAGGGAAGTGTTGACCCGCCATCACCTTGATAACCACACACAAGAAACACTCCCCGCCTGAAAAGTTACATGCGATAAAACATGTACACTGTTATAGGATCTTTGTCACTCACAAAAGAGGGAAAATGTGATAGGTAGAAAATTTTGTTTTGTGGAAAAAAATAATTGGGGAAAAATTAGGGTTTGTGGAGGAAACAAGAAAAATTGAGAAGGTCTGCTTCTGATTTGGGTTTAGGTAAAGGATAATTTTTTATAAAGCTTTGCTCTGGTTCTAATCTGTGAACTGTGCTTCTGATTTGTCATCCCTTTGTCAGTGTTCGTATCGTATCTCTCTGGAAGGAAGTGGGTTTCTTAGGACATCGCTGAGGCTGTACTCGAACATGTGGATTATTTTTGTCTTGGTACAAAATTCGGTTTTCATGTTTTTGATCAATCTGTTTTGTGATTGCATTTAAATGGTATTTGGTTTATGTGTTTACGTATTAGTTTGCACTTGAAATGAGTTTTCTTTCAAGCATTTTGTAATTTTCGTGATTATATTCGATTAGTGGTACATATCCTCTCGTGAAACCTAGGGATTAAAGTAGAAGACCAAAACTTGAAAGAATGAAATTAGGGTAGCTGATTTCTGTTAAATTTGAGCATGGAGTGATTGAATGATTCAAAAACAAATTAAGCAGGAGTAAAGAGAGATAAAGAATGAAATAGGTAGAAGTGGTTAGGTGTTTGTTGGTTAGGATTAGATAAAGAATGAAATAGGTAGAAGTGGTAATATGTTCTGGTGTGTTCATCTTCTTTTCTTTTAGGTTTTTTGGTGTTTGTTGGTTTGGCTTTCAGCTCTTACTTGAAACAAGGTTTTTCAGAGATTAGGATTAGATAGACTACTTGTTTCATTTCTCAGTCTTCTTGTCTACTAAAAAAATAATAATAGTCAAGTGAATATTTTTATCTTATTGATCGTGTGAATTTTCATGTATTTTTATGGTTGATCTATATGTTAATGATCTATGTGTTAATGAATTTTCATGTATTTTTATGGTTCATCGTGTGAATTATTCAAGTAGTCTATATCCAAAAGAAGCCTTATAAAATAACTGCAACAATTCATAAAAACAGCATTGTCAAAACATTGTCGCATACAAGGACCTTATCCTTTTATAATAACGAGAGTACTTCCAAACTGACCAACCATCAACTATTTAAATTCATTATATTGAATAAATATCACGTAAGGAAACTGATTGTGCTTTAACAAATATCTTCTTTCTTTCAAACTTTTATCGGCACAAATCCACCTATCTTGTAACCGCATACTCTAAGAGAAGTTATGTCTATTTCTTTCAAACCAGTTTGGAAATACTAACTGCTAAATGGTTTACCTCGTTGTGCCACAGTACTTCATTTCTGCAAGCTTCATTAATGCAACACTGAAAACACATCAAAAGCATGTATCAGAGATCTCCCTAAGATGGATTATTAAGAATATTAATGAACAGTATAAATCTGTGCAATTTTTATGTGTTAATGTATTTTCATGTATTTTTATGTGTTGGTAAACCTGTGGGGTATCCATATAAATCTGTGCAATTTAATCTTGTGATTAATGGTCCAGTTTTTTTCCCAAACTGTGATGTAATCTTTTGTAGTTGTATGTGGATCGTTTATTGGTTATTTCTTGGTTATATTACAAATCAGTAGTTGGTATCAATGGCAAAGAATGGGGCATCTTCTTCAAATCCTATTGCTACATGGAATGCCCACAATATATCTATATTTTGTGATATTTGCATCAAGGAGGTTGAGGCCGGACATCGTCCAGGCACTCACTTTGACAAAGATGGATATGCAAATATTAGAGCTAACTTCAAAGCAGAGACAGGGCATGATTATGAAAGAAAGCAACTGAAAAATAAGTGGGATGCACTTAAAAATGAGTGGAAGTTGTGGAAAGATCTAGTTGGTAAAGAAACTGGCCTAGGGTGGAATTCGAGCAAGGGTACCGTTGATGCCTCTCAGGAGTGGTGGAATAATAAAATTCAGGTTTGTGTATTTATTTTTTAATATGTATTATGATATCATGCAATATGGCTTAACCATATTCTTTCTTATTTGTAGATAAACAAAGAATATGGAAAATTCCGAAAAAAGGGCATTAGTCCTGAGATGGAGGACAAGTTAGATAGGATGTTCTCGAATACAGTTGCTACCGGTGAACATGCCTGGGCACCTTCCTCTGGAGTACTACCACCAGATACAAGAGATGAATCTATAGGACAAGTTGATTCAGATGATTCAGATGAAATTGAGACCATGCAGGATATAAGGCAAGCTAGTAGGAAGGGAAAAAAAAGAGCGGCTAAGCAAGGAGAATTGTAAAACAAGAAAGGGAAAAAAATTGGAGGTGCTGCAAAACTTTGTGGTTAAATTGACCGTCTTGTTGAAGTTTATGAAACTAGGAGTTTTGCAAACTCATTGATGTCCAAACTGCATATAGGAAATAGTATTTCAGAAGTGTTAGCGACTGTTGCACAATTGCCTGGTTGTGAGCCACCTAGCGAGTTATGGTTGTTTGCTACATGTTTATTTTGTAGCGCAAAGAAGCGAGAGGTGTTTGGCACGATAAAAGATCCTGAAGTCCAGCTAACTTGGTTGAAATATATGTTCAACAAAGAACAATAGGGAGCTAAAAGCCTAAAACTATGAATTAGGACTATATGTGTGGTTGTACTTTGCATTAAGATTATGTATTGAATGTTACTACATGTTTATTGAATGTTGGATTATATGTTGAATGTTGAATTATGATTTCTTGTTAAACGTTGGATTATGACTTGTTCTTGAATGTCGGAGTATGACTTCTTAGTGATTGTTGGATTATGACTTGTGGAATGTTGAATTATGTGTTAGGTTACAGGTGTATATTCAATATGAATACCTCTGATGATGATGTTCAGGATTTGGAGGATGGTGTAATTATATGCGCTGTAGCGAGAGCTGTTGAAACATATTATTTAAAATATGTCCACAAAACTCCGTGTATGAATTCTTCCCAAACAGGTAATATTTGGTTGATGGAAGTACTACAAGGAAATCATGTGCGATGCTATAGAATGTTTAGGATGAACAAAGATGTCTTTTATAGATTATCCAATGACTTGCAAACTAATTATGGGTTGAAAGGTTCAAGGAAAATGAATGCAATTGAAATATTAGGAATGTTCTTACATATGTTGGGACATGGTGTGAAAAATAGATTAGCTCAAGAGAGATTTCAACATTCTGGTGAGACTGTTAGTAGATATTTTGGTGTTGTGTTAGATATCGTATGTAAGATGGCAATAGATATTATCAAACCGATGGATTCTGAGTTTCGTGGCATTCCCCAAGAAATAAGGAGAGATACAAGATACATACCTTATTTTAAGGTAACTTTTGACTCGTCTTCTAACTTATTTGTAAACTATAAGTGTTTGCAAACTATAAGTGTAGGTTGACGATTTTCTTCTATGTTATTATTTTTAGGATTGTATTGGTGCCATAGATGGAGTACATGTTGAGGCTTCAATACCACCTCCAGATCAAGTTCCATACATTGGTAGGAAAGGAATACCGACACAAAATGGCTGCATGTAATTTTGACATGCAATTCACATTTGCTTGTGCCGGATGGGAAGGCACTGCACATGATACAAGGGTTTTTTTATGTGTGCTACGGAATCCAAATTTAAACTTTCCAAAGCCTTCAAATGGTAATCTTCATACTTATTTATAACAATTTACATGCTTGCTTTGTATAATTATTACAATACAAAACAAAATTTTCAATTTTCAGGAAAATATTACTTGGTAGATGCGGGGTACCCACAAATGAGAGGTTATTTGGGACCATATAAAGGTGAAAGATATCATCTCCCGGATTTTCGTAGGGGTCCCGAACCAACGGGTCATAAAGAGGTATTCAACCACATGCATTCTTCTCTAAGGAGCATCATTGAACGAACTTTTGGGGTATGGAAGAAAAGATGGGCAATTTTAAGGGATATGCCTAATTACCCGTTCAATAAGCAAGTGAAGATTGTCATTGCTACAATGACTCTTCATAACTACATACGGAGGTATTCTGAAAGTGATCGTCATTTTGATGACCCCAGGGACTATTGTGAAGAGAGCGATAGTAGTGATGATGATGATGAAGAATACCAAAATTATCAAGTTGAAGGATCCCATGAGATAGAAGCATTAAGAAATAGAATAGCAGCAAGTTTGATGAATGCATCTAATTAGACTACTTTCAAGTACATTAACAATATTGTACTAATGAATCCTAGCTATTCAGTCTAAAATATTTCAATTGAAGTACTTTGTCATACTAATTAATATTTAAGATAAAGTTTATAAATATTTCTTTTTTAAAAATAAAGTATATTTAATAATTCACTTTTATTTGTTAAGAAAATTAAATTAATAGCACATATAGTATTATACCCTTTTTGGTCATTTCACACAGTTACAGCTGTTTTACATAAAAGTTTACCAAACACCTTTTTTTCCAAAAGCACTTTTACAAAAATGTTTACCAAACACTCTGCTGACTTTATTTCACAGCCGCTTATTCTCACAGCACAACCGCTTATTCTCACAGCAGCTTTTTTTCAAAGCACAGCAATACCAAACCAGCCCTTAGTCTTCTCTTACCGCATGCTTAATGCTAGAAATCAAAATAAGAAATTGAATTCTGATCACAAACCATTCATATATTTATAAATTTGATGAATTAAAAAGACGATGGACCCACACAAATTTAAAAATTCATTTCCATATTTCGGAGGAATTGGATTTCTTGACAATAAGAGACGAGAAATCCATTCTGCATATCCATATTGCCCTCACATAATCATTGAAATTCCCCAAAAAACCCCTACGCTAGTGCATAGCGCTCACATGCCTCGTTTTCCCTCACGACCACCTCTCGTTCTTCCCGCTAGGGATGGGCAATGGTTATGCAGGCGGGTAACCGCGGTTAATTTACCCATAACCGTTTATGCTCATACCCGCATAACCGTTTACCTGTTGGGTAATTGTCTAAACGGTTATACCCATACCCATAACCGTTTATAAACGGTTAACCATACTCATAACCGCATACCCATTTAACCGTAACCGTTTAATACTCGTTTACCCATTTATCCTTTTTAACCCGTTTGTCTTTTTTTTACCATTACCTTTTTTTCACCCGTCTACATGTTTTTTAACAACTTGAAAATTAAAAAAAAAAATTGTCATAATTTTTTTTGACAATTAAACACTGTTATGGGTACATTCATCATACATTTCCATGTTTTAATTATTTAAGTCCTTATATCATTCCAATAATTGAAATAATAGTTTACGGATGATATTTTTAAATGTTACCAATGAAGGTAAATATAATATTTGCTAAGTATTATTGGGTTACAAAAATTGTTTAGAAGACATTTCTGTCAAAGCATTTCTGTCAATTTCACGGTTACCCGCAAGGAATTTAAATTAATTTGGCCAATTCCTTGATGATGAGAATCATCATTCCTGTAATAATGTTATTGAGAGAATGACCGATAAATTCATTGCTAATTTATTGGGTGCTAAATATTATTGGATCGAGAACATGATTTGTGTTAGTTTTACATATATAAAATAAATGGGTAAACGATTACCCGTTTATAACCGTGGTTAATACCCATAACCGTCCATTTAAATTTCGCGGGTAAACGGTTATACCCATAACCATTTATTTATCTAAACGATTACCCATAACCGTAACCGTTTAATTTAACTGGGCGGGTAACCGCGGTTACCCATAACCAACGGGTATTTGCCCATCCCTATTCCCCGCTAAACCGTAAACCCTACACCTAAACCCAACCACCACTGCACTGCCCATAGGCCACAAACCCACCGTCAATTTCAAATTGTTGAAAGATATGGGTCGTAAACCATTTTCTGTTAAACACAGAGCCGGCGGCAGTGCAACTGAGATACAAATCAACACGGGCAACAACGATGAACATATTCCGAGAACCATGATTCAATTATATGCAAATGTGATACATTCACCCTGTGAGCATAAGTTTCGACGGTGCAGTATGAGGAGAATGAAAGTGATTATCAACATGGACTGATGCGCTGGAAAATCTTCATGTCTGATAGTTCTTAAGTTCTAAGACCAAAGACATACATGCTGTTCAACATCCGATCGAGAAACTGAAATTTTATAACTTCTCCGCATCTATTCCCCACTCGCATACAAACGGGTCCACTCCTTTGCTGCATGATTCAAGGGAAAAATAATTACTAAAGTTAACAAAACTATTCCGCAAATGCAGGTTAAAATTTGGAACTAGTTGTCAGTAAATGGTGCAAATGAAAGGATGAAATCAAAGCAATAAAAGAAATTTAAGCTCTCTACACGACGTAATTGAGAAACCTACGCTGCTGTAAGCCATGGAACTTCTTAAAAATTGCATGGTTAATATCCGAAGATTAACCAAATAGAGCAGTTGTGCGTAATTTTTAATACCTGTCTCAACAGCTTCTTCTTCATTTGTCTTCCAGTGCTTTGCAATGTTCTCAGAAAGCGGATCATCAGGATTTGGAGCACTCAGAAGTGCTTGAATGCTGATCACACGTAATACATTGTGTTAGTAGTCATTTATATTTCTCATGACACGGGAACATAACAACACAGTGATAATATCTTAATTTATTAGCAATGACCCTAACATAATGCTGTGCAGATTTTTCATATTTCTCTTTCTGATCAAGCATAAGCTACTGTTTAAACATATAAAAAAAAATGTGTTGCGGGAATGCAATATGTCACCTCAGCAATACTGTTCGGATTTGAAGGGCTGGACTCCATTTGTCTTTCAGAATATCGAGGCATATCCTCCCAAGCTGCCAAAATAAATTCTTACCTTATTAGAAACTCAGGTGAAACAATGGAAAGGGGTGAAAGGAGAAAGCTACTTGCCTTGTCAATGTTAGGATGATATATTTTTGTCAGGAAACGGACCTGTTCGTGGGGAAGAAAAAAACAGAAGATGAGATTAATTAGCATTCGAAATTTCACAGCATCTATGGTGAGGTGACACAGTGTTAAAAATAAATATCTTTAAGGAATCACAACTAATTTCATGAGCGGTAGGTCTCGGGTTCGACACTTGGGAGCAGTCTCTCCATAAATGGGGGTAAGGCTAGCCGACATTCACCTCTCCCAGACCCTGCGTAAAGCGGGAGCCTTGTGCACTGGGTACGACCTTTAATCACAACTAATTTCATCTTTAAAAGAAATACAATTAAACGAAATATAGGCTCAAAGCATTAAAAGTCAGCAACCGAAGATTTAGAAGATATATACAATAGCAGTTTCAGTCAAGTAACTTAACAAGCTAGAACAGCACTGCATAAGGCCCCAAAATAACTATCCCTAAACTCTGAAGATCCTGATGTCCCGTCGAAAAGCCCACACCTGCACTTTTCTGACGAACTTATGTGCTTGGAACAGGCATGGTCACACACACAAGCATGCACGTGCCCGCGTGCACACACCAACAGTGGCTTTTGTATTAGAACCTAGGGTAGCACAAGTAAATAATACAAAGCAGGCAGACAAACATGTCCAAAAATATTCTTTACATAAAAAGTAATGACATGGATCAAGAATAAAATCACATAAAAGAGGTTTGAAACCATTGAATTCTAAGGTAACCAGTAAAAACCCTAATAATGTTTTCCCCTCCAAAATTAGGCAACCATATGAATCAATATGAACCCAATGATTCAAAATTTCCACAAGTAACATTGTAAGCATCCATAAAAACATAAATCTCAAAATATGCAATTAATTAACACCTAATTACATATTTACCTTTGGAGGTGCCATTGGATATTCTTCAGGCAAAAACAATTCCAACTTGAAAACCCCACCTAAGTCAATAAACAAATAGAAGCGTATGAACATGGCATACCAACATGAGGTGATATAAAGTGATAAATGGCTATGTTCGAGAACAGATACAATAACATGTTACAGAAGGTTCCAAAATTTGATCTTAGAAACATTGGTGCAAAAGAATAGATAATCTAATCATAGAGAATGGCAAAAGGAATAATAATCTCTGGCTAGTAGATAGGTGCACCTTACAAGTATCAGCTGTATAACCAATAAACCTTTGGAACCAAAAGAAGAAAAACATGTTCTTCCACTAGAATCAATTGGCACATCCTTTCCCTTCACTTTTTTTCCTAAAGGATTAAAATAGAAGAAAAAAGACGGAAAAATAAGAGGGAAAACTAGGCCTGCCATCCTTTCCCTGCCTTATTTTTCAGAAGAAAAATGTAATCCAAAATCTAACAATCCAAAGAAACCCTTTCATGAAATCAAGAGTTGTAAAGATGGTTAGTCTTGTGGCAATCACTTACATTTCATGTGATAATCTCCCATTGAATTACAAACATAATATTAAAAGTTTATCATGTGCAGAAATTTCAAGTTCGAAAGTTTGAAAAGAGGAAAAAAAAAATATTAGGAAGCTATAGACGTATAACAGTAGATATAGTTACTAACATACTCTTAGTTTTTGCCTCAATGAAGCAGAAGTAAAAGATGGAGAATAAGGGGTCTTTCACAAAATCCTAAATTAGAGAAACAAGAAGTGCCTAATCACCTTCATATGGAGATTGAGCTGGGCCAAGAATCATTACGTTGAAATATCGCATGTTTTCTTCTGCAGGAGAAGCGCTGATTCCAGGAGCTGCAAAATAAAATCAGTAATTTGATGAAAAATCATAAAACCAACTTTAAAATTCCAATGTCGACCTATCAAAAGTTCACAACCCAAAACTAGAAGGCTTAATTGATATTATCACATCAGGTCTAGACTCATCAAAGTATATATAGACGTTTGGCGATGACAAGGTCGAGGTAGTGTATCGAAAAGTAGGCCAAGATATGCCTGAAAATTTAAAAGTGCTTTGCCATACTGTGCCCCAGAAAGGGATTACGAGTAGTCACGAGTACACCACCAACACATTCTGACATCAAACATACACATCCGATACATAAGCAGTTGGATCAAATGAAATAAGGTCAGCGGGAATCATTAACACAAAACAATGCAAATGGTATATCCCAATTCCCATATCAGCGGATCAACGGATTTATGAATGCACCATATCAGCGGATTTGGCCTTTAAAAAAAATTTGAACCCATACTAAAAGAAGCAAAACCCATAACTGGAAACAGAAGAGGAGACCAGGAAAGGAGACCTTCCCAACAAAAAGCTCTTTCCTTGTTTAACTTAAAGCTAAAAACTACTTCCACAGCGGACGACTATCCATAATTACAACAATTAAAGTATAAAGCCTCAGAATTCCGCCGCCATACGTCAATTAATACCATAACTTAAATTTAATTAGTAAAACTTATACATATAGAGAGAGAAAGAGAGAGAAACCTGGTTCGCTGAGAAGCCTCTGCGTCTCCTAAGGAAAGGCATCAGAAATAATTCACATAAACGCCAAATCAGAAACCAAAAACGAAAGATGAACAGAATAGTTATTGAATCAATATATATATATAGGGAGAGAGAGAGAGAGAGAGAGAGAGAGAGAGAGAGAGAGAGAGAGATGGTAGGGTTTAGAATAAGAAGAGAACCTTGATAATTCGTCTCGGAAGATTACTGTTGGCCATCAAATCTCTTCTTCTTCTCTTGAAAGTTGGAGGATTCCAGACGCCGAAGACTCAGAAGCTCTCTCTCTCTCTGTGAAGATCAGAAGATGAGAAGAAGCTGAAAGCCAAAGGGACCAACAAAACGGGGGGAAATCTGGTCAACAGCTTTTGCTAATGGGGATGGTTTTCAACTTCCAACTGAAAGATTGTTCAGTGTAACCGTCAACCGTCACGTAAAATGCTACACCAAGTCTTCCTATCACAATTAAAAATTTCTTCTTCCAACTAGCTTTCGCATTTATTATTATTTTATTGTTTTCTTGCAATCCCCTTCTCTGTATTTTTCACTCATCTTTCGGCCCAGAAGCACATGGGCCGATTGGGGACCCCACCCGGTAGACCGACTGGCCGGTTGCCCGGTCATATGCACCGAGAGTTGAAAACAAATGAAAAACATTTTGTCAATAAAAAACTATTTAGGTATCCAACATTGGAAAAGGATCCTCGCCGGATCATTTTCCTAAGGATTCGGGGAATTCTATAATCATATCCGTTCATCGTATATCGTACGGTTATAAATTATTTAAAATTTAAAATTAAATTTAAATAATATATAATGAAAACTAATCGTATGATGTACGATGAACGGACATGATAGCAGAATCTCCCGGATTCTACGAAAAGGATCCTCGCCGGATCCTTTTCCTCCAACATCGACCAAATAAATAGACAAGCACAATATTTTCGATAGACTTTGAAATGTTAAACGATGTTTGATTTGTGGTTGTATGCAAAACGCAAATGATCTTACATGATGACCTAAATAAATAACAATTCTGTTTATAAGATTAATTTGTGTAGTGATCAAACAAGTAATTATCTCCGGTTAACCCTCAAGTGCTACTACAGCCATTGGGCAACAATAATTCCACAAGGATAAAGATATATATAAAATAAAAATAAATAAAAATAAAAAAGCAAAAAGAAAATCATATTAGAGGCCATTATACAGCGGATCAAAGTTAGTATTTGTACATGCCACATTTCAAATATTGCAAACAAAACGAAGGCAAAACAATTTTACTTCCACCACTAAAATCATGGCTGGAATAATTCAGTATCGTTCCATCTCATCACTCGAAGTCATGTCTTCCACAGAAAAAGATCGTGGAACCAAAGGCACACAACCATGGTGACTAAATATTGGCAGATCGAGCGAAGCGCTGGCAATCAACTTACATTCCTCGAGTGCTTCTGCATCCATGGATGAAATTTCCTGCAACACGCGCACGAATCACGATTTTGCTTACATGACGATCAAGTACAGATGTTTAAGAACAATACATTTTTCAGACATCATGAGTTCGGTAAAGTGACACAGAGCAGTACATAAACTATATGATTTCCTGTATTATCTTTCACATCAGTTTCAGTTTATCTTTAAAAAGACGCCGTTACCTTGGTATTTGATTCCCGGATGTAGCCAACAAGTAGCAGTTTCATTTGCTGATTGGATATACAGCAATTGTTTCCATCAACTGTATGCATTTGCTACATCAAAGGATAAAAAGATCTTCATCAATATGGAACTAACGGGATCAATGCATAAATAACTTGTTTTCGGTAAGTTGGAAGAAAGCAAATTACAGTCTTTATAATCTGGCAATTGGTAAGCTCGTTTTTTCAACAAATACCATTACCAAAATTAATAAACAGATTACTCACAATGTTTTTATGAGGTGAACTATTGCAGTCCAATCCAATGGCAACCACTACCCTGAAGGTCTTCTGCGTATCAGCTACAGCCCAACCGAAGAAAACTCCCCAGACTTGGTCGGGGAGAGCAGATCTTCCATCCTCTGATTATTGTGGACTTGTGGATTAAATTGAATACAAATTTGCACAAATCTTAAACCATAAAAATGTGCATTTACTAAGACTCCCTAGTCAGTCAAAGAAATTGAACAAATACATTCCATCATGCAAGAACGAAACAATTCACCGACCTGTGACTTCACTGACAAACCCATTGGCATAGAGACCACTAAAATAAATTGGTTCAATCGGCAGTGCCTTATCTACCCCTGAAATAATCAATCAAGCAAATATTTAAAAGGGGGGGAAGGCCCTATGGACAAATACACACAAACAATATGAAGTGAGACGTACAGTCTTCAAATTGAGGAAGACCCCAATGTTCGGGCTGAAACTCCAAAAGAGAATGAAGCACAGTATCTGCAAGGGAAGAACAACCGGCAGCTTCACCACGGGATGGGACAGCCACTACCTCCATTCCGGCAGCTTTGGCAGCTTTAACACCAACCCTGTTCAAAATATATTGATTCTAGACATGAATACCCTGGCAGCATATGCTTAAAAAACAGATGGCTTTAATTTATCAGCAGTGTATATCTCCAAATACATATTTGATCAAAATGAAATAAATTTAATGTCAGATGTATATGTTTGTGGCCGATCTTACACTGAGTCTTCAATCACTAGGCAATGAACTGCATCCACACCCATTTGCTTCGCTGCCTCTTCAAATCTGTAAACATTTTGGAAAGCATATTAGCATCTGCGAAAAGGAAAATAGAATGCATGTGAGGTGATGTTTTCTTCTTGACAGAAAATTGATCAGGCCTCTGAATGTTTTAGGTTGAAAAGGGATGGGGCGTTCCAAAGTTCAATTTGTATGAGTTCAAGGGAGCCTTGTATTTTCTATAAATTCACTTACAAATCTGGAGCGGGCTTCCCCGCTTTAACTTGGTCACTGCCAAGAATTACTGAAAACAGTTCCTTCCAACCTATAATATACAGATGAAGTAAACAGATTAATAAAAATCATGAGCATTCACAGGTCATCCACTATGTTACACACAAACTTGCATGAGAAAATGAATAACACAGAACGATAGACAACTTAGAACAATTTAACATGAAACACAGAGAGAGATATAATTTTCATTGTTTACACTGACTGATTTTCCCCGTGGCATAGCCGGAACATCTACTCGATCTTTACAAACAACCCCTATAATGACTATAAATATAATATTGGATCAAGGAATACTTATAAAACAACGAATGTGTAACACTTTTTCCAGGTACTGGTGCGGAAGCTGTAGATTCAATATTGATTGAATCAGCCCTTTTTTAAACACCAAAATTAAGAAACTAACAGTAAGATAGTAGGACAAAACGCAGCAACACAATGCCTCTTCATTTTATTGCGAAATGTAGGCTTAGCAGAGAGAACTAACATTGGTTATTGTTAACAATGAGAAAATTGTACAAACCTCGATGGTGAGAGATTTTTGCTTCTATGTATTCACGTAAGGAGTTTGAAGCAAGAGCCATAGGTACTCCGTGGTCATGGAAGTGTTTGATAACGCGATTAGCACCAGGAAGAGCTTTCGCGTACTTCCACCTAAAAGTACACAGTTAAACAACTTTAGCACACAGGGAGCAACACAAGGTGAACAGATATGCACATCCAAGTAAACTGGTAAAGTAAATGTGTTAAACAAGTGATCGAGTGCCAGCATGTAAATGACATGACATAATTCGAAAGCGCTTACTTTTCCTGATACATGGGGATGATTTGTTGGACAAACTCGTCAGGGGTGAATGGGAGATGATAGTCCTTAACAACCGAAGCTGCCGAGTCCTTTAGTGTCATCCCCAACCTCTTCTTCTCCTCCCTTTCCTTGTCCAATACTTTGCCATTCCGGGCCAAGAATTCCTCGAACACGCCCCTTGTTGCCCACTCTGCACCACATTCACACACACACACACAAACACACAAGAGTAAGAGTTTGAAAACTAAGAAAACAGCAAGAACAAGAAACCCACATAGCCAAAAGAAATACAAATATTGTTGGGAGGGGAAATTTGAGACCTGTGTCCAAAAGGGTGCCATCCAAATAAAAAATGACAGCCAAAATCTTGGGTTTTGGGTTCTCTGCATCTGCATTGTTGCACTCACACCCACGGCAGCTCATGGTATATTGGTAAGATTGGTGTATCGGTAATTTGGTATTGGTAGCTCAGCCCAGCCGAAGGTTGAAGGAAGTGAGAAAACAAGGATTCAATCGGAACATAAGTTCATGTGTTCAAGTATCTTATTATGTAAACAATCATAATATGCATCAGGGCCGCTCGTAATTAACCCCCAATCAATCAACTTTTGGGCATTCGGATTCCCAATTTCGAATTTGGAATTTGGAATGGCATTGTTCTGGGAATTGATTGAATGCAAATTGTGACGAGTGAAAGAGATGAGACGAGATAATATATGCAAATTGAAGAAGGAAACTCGAAATTTCAGATTCTGTGTGTCGGTTTTGCTTCCACTTTGAGAATTGAGTCGTAAATCATAAACGGTGCTGCTCTTACGTGAAAGAAAGCGTTTCAATCTCAAATGCCGAATTTTCACGGGCGGATTCGGATATGCCTTTTCTTTGTTTTCATGTGATATGCTGAGTGCTGCTGACGGAGAAAACTATAAACCACAATACCCCAACGAATAACAATACTACATCCTACAATGATACACCTTAAATATTGGCGGCATCAGGATTAGAACTTTAGGGGTCTCAGTGTTAAAGGTTTAAATTTTTAGACGGAAAAATTAAGCAAAAAATTTTCAGTTTGTTTAGTGAGGCATTTCGTCGTACATGTCAACAAATATTGACATATATCGAAGTAATATGTTGAGTGTTATCAAGAACATATGTCGACTTCTACCGATGTCAAGTGCTACTGAAATATGTCTAACAAACATTAGATCAAACATTTGGTGACCATAAAAGAATTTCATATGAATTACAAAACATTTAAAGGGTCCTCGAAAGAACTTCACACGCGTATTTTCCTGCCTCCAAGTGGTTTCAGGACCACCTCCATGATCGTTTAGCGACGAGGACACCCGGGACATGAACCATACAAGGCGCTTCGGACATGAGGCTCGCTAATCAGGTAGGGGTGAAAATGCACTAGGATACTGCAATATGACTTCAAACGCATTGTTTCAGCGTTACTCATTCAATGCTCATAGCTTGGTGGACACTAACCAAACTAGCGTGCGCTTACAATCAGAGGCAAGCCTCGCCACCCATGTGTACTCAACCACTTACAATACAACGAGAAATTTTTTCCATGTGACTGACAGGTGATGTTCCTCACCAATAACCTCTCCATGTGACTGACAGGTGATGTTCCTCACCAATAACCTATGAACGCTTGTGTCCTTATAGCATAACAATTTAATACATTTAAATTTTATTAAAAAATCCAAATAAACAAGACCTACACTGTTCTCAAGACTTGCCAATTTAATACATTTAAATTTTATTCAAA